AGTAAGAGTACTGCACATCTTTCTGGCCATGGGAGTTCAGAAGTGGACATGTGACCCAGGCTGAGTCAATAAGCCATTGACTGTTATATTGAACACCAGTTCTAGGACTTCCTGGATGAACTGACGGTGAGACAATCTCTTTCTATAGAGTTGTTGAATTGCAGCTGCTGATGGCTGTCTTCCCACCATATGGGGGGAATCTCCTGAGAATGGTGCCTACAGATGGTTGCCTCTGATGGTTTTGTACTATTATTATTTTGTACTATTATTTACACATTCCATCTTAAATCTCTTTTTTAAGTTGGTTAGCATGATCTCAGCATCTTGTTCTCCCTCTCCTCTGACTGCAGAATTCACCAGATGTGTCTTTCATCGTCCAGACAGCTGTCAAGCACGTTCGCTCAAGTTGGTTCCCAGACCATCTTCAAAATAAAGTGAACGAATCTTCCAGAAGGTTTTCATTTATTCACCTAACCACCTCCTTTGTTCCCACCATCACCTACCTGAACCAATCCCCTTGCCAGAAAGTCATAGTACCGTGTCTTTTACGACAGTGGAAACCAGCGTACCTCCTTCCCATTCATGTGTCCACAAACCCCACTTATAGAAAAACATTCTTCTCATTTAGCCTGAGAGTTAAAAACAGGAGGGAGGGGACGATATATGCCATGCAGCTCTAGAAAAAAGACAATAATAAAGGTGCTAAAACTTTTAGAAAACTCCAGAGCCATCCCATTTCCGAAATTACTTAGGATATTCATGCTGCTGTTAAATAAGCAGATAATCTTTATCTGCTAATAAAAAACCGGCCTGTTGCCAGAGCACTGTGACAGTCTTAACAAGTTCTACAAAAAACAAAATACCAGCAGATAACAGGTATTATGGTTTTTTCTGGCAAATATTAACACTTCACAGCTAGCAGATCCTGCTTACTTAATGGGGCCTATAAAAACTCGCCAGGCCGTTCACTTGCAGCCACTGAAATTCTCTCAGCTTCTTCTTTACAGCGTTTCAGAGCCTAGATGAGAAAACGGCTACAAAACAGACTGGCTGAAAAGATTTTTAAGGTCTCATGTCCATATTTACAAACCTTGCAATCTGTGTGTATTCATTTATTTTAACACAAATGAAGGGAATACATCAGGAATTCCTTTGGAAAAAGAAAAACACCAAATCTGAGAGAAAAAGAACAAAATATGTCAGCTGAGGCAACCCCCAAAGGGTCTTACAGCCTTCCCAGCACCCCTAACTGCCACCCTGCCTCCCGCGGAACCCACTGCTCTCTCTGAGCTCATTTAGAAGCTAGTACTCTCTACGCTACGGCATTCATCACATACGTTCTTGTCCCTTTTTGTTCTGGCTTAGATGTCTGTATTCTTGGATAGACTGTGAGTTCCTCCAAGGTAGAGATAATATTATACTCTCGTTACCTACACCTGGCCTACTCTAAGAGTGAGCAAATATTTGTTGCAGTTGAATAGGAGACACAGAGAAAGGAGAATGATGTGGGAGCAAGGGAAAACCCACGAAAGCAAGGAGTCTTCAGCTCTGGTCCCTGGGCAGCTGTGACGCTGGTGGAGAACCACCCACAAGATGGCCTGAAAAGGTCCAGAAAGTCCAAGGTGGGCTAAAGAAAGGATAGTAGTTCCATTGACAAAAATATATTTTCTTTTAAAAAATAAGCATAGATTGTAATAATCTTTCAAGTGATTGCTTTCATCATCTTGGCTTTCAAGACTTTGTGAGCATTCTTATGTTCTTTCTGGCTTAATTTAAAACTAGTTACAAGGTAGTTATTAGGTAACTTTTCTTCCTAGTTTCCTTCTGGATAATCCAGCAGTTCCCCAGGAGAGTGTGACTCAGAGAATACGTGTCAGGCCTCCCAAGCTGAGGTGCTGGACTTGGGGAGCCCTGAGTCCATGAAAGTATTTTTTGATGATGCTGGTCCATGTAATGATTTTGCTAGAGAAGATGAACTACTTTGGTGCTTACTGAAGTGATTGGAATCAATGCCCTATTTTTAAAATTGTGGGTCAGAAACCTTGAGAACCCCTGGAGAAGCACCTGTGGGCCCTCTCTTGGGCCCCCCTCACCCCTCCCCATCAGGGACCATCGATCAGATTTTAACAAGTGCCCTCAGTGATGCTGAAGACCAGCCTGATCCAGGAGCCACGGTCTCACAAAAGCTGCCTTGTTGGGTCTGGCTGACTGACAGGAATGAAATGTTAATTTCTCAACTTGCTTTCCTAGATCTCTCCAAAAGCAGCAAGACAATGGTGTAATTTCTCAGGCCTACGCTGCACAAAAGATACAAGTGATTTTCCTTGGCTTGGGGAGAGGACAGGAAAGGATGCTGAGATCCTAATCCCTGTTTGGAGTATCTCCGTGATCACAAAGAGCTCGTCTTTTATGACAGTGCATTTCCCAAGCATTCCTCTGGGAAGCCTTAGTTCCCAACTGTCTGGGAAACGTAAAATCAGCCACTTTTGGCAAAGCTCTATACACCTGAGGATGGGAAACACAAATTAAAACAGAGATATGATACTTCTTCATTCACTGGATGGTATGGTTATACATTTGCTTGACATAAAAATCAAACCCTTAAGATAGGGAGGACTTGGGGCCGGCCCCGTGGCTTAACGGTTAAGTGCGTGTGCTCCACTGCTGGCGGCCCGGGTTCAGATCCCCGGCGCGCACCAATGCACCGCTTCTCCGGCCATGCTGAGGCCGGGTCCCACATGCAGCAACTAGAAGGATGTGCAGCTATGACATACGACAATCTACTGGGGCTTTGGGGGGAAAATAAATAAAATCTTTAAAAAAAAAAAAAAAAGATAGGGAGGACCCGAGTGTATAGTTATGCAGCTCTCAGGTTTGGGGAGGGTCAGGGGAAACTTTCAGTCTCATGAAGATTAGACATTTTCATCCCTTCAGCTTGATGTAAGGAGATCATATAAAATAAGGTGAAAACAGCCGGCCTGCTTAATCTAACATTACTAGTCCTATTTTGCTCATAGGCATTCATGGCGGTGTCGAGATGGAGGACTTTTCAATGCATGGACATGGTGTTCTGTCTGGGTTGTGGTTGAAACAACTCTCTTTTATTTTATTGCTATTTATTTATTTATTTATTTATTTATCTGTGAGGAAGATCAGCCCTGAGCTAACATCCATGCTAATCCTCCTCTTTTTGCTGAGGAAGACTGGCTCTGAGCTAACATCTATTGCCAATCCTCCTCCTTTTTCTCCCCAAAGCCCCAGTAGATAGTTGTATGTCATAGCTGCACATCCTCCTAGTTGCTGTATGTGGGACGCAGCCTCAGCATGGCCGGAGAAGCGGTGCGTCAGTGGGCGCCCGGGATCCGAACCCGGGCTGCCAGTAAGGGAGCGTGTGCACTTAACCGCTAAGCCACGGGGCTGGCCCCGCTTGTTTGTTTGATAGAGGGAGCAGAGCCTCACAGACTATCGAGTCTCTCATCAGTCAGTAAGCTGATCTCGACTAAGTTTGAAATGAAGTGAATTGTTATCTAAACGGTTATTCTGTGGAAATCTTTCTCTTCTGTTGCCGAGAATCTAAGCAACCAGGTGCCCATCGCTGTCCGTGCCCTTCTGTTTAATCCTAACATCTGTAATAAAACCAACCAGTAGCTGCTTGCTCTGATCTGTAGTCACAGGAAGCCCATCTCTGGAAGGCGGTTTGGTTGGAGACCACCAACCCTTACTGCACATTTCCAATTGGTGTTTTTAAACTCCACCACCCAAGGACAACTCTACTGGGCCAACATGTCTTAGTTGCTCTGCACGGCAGTGGTGGATGCTGAAGCTGACTTTCAAACATGAGTGTAAAAGTGCTGGGTGTCACGCCTGAGAGGCCACAGCACTGCAGTGAAAACGAGAGGGAACCAGCTCGGTCGCTGGACTCTCTTGTCCCAGCCCTGACCTTGTGAGCATAAATACGAGTGAAAATCAGGCAAGGAAACTCTCCTTTAATAGATTCGTCCTTCAAAAGAGCTGGTGTCGTTAGTGGCCACCAGGAGTAAGAGGGTTCCTTATGTGGTCAAAGAACAGCACCAAAACTGCAGTAGAGGGAGTGACCACCAGAGAGGGGTGTGAGTGCTGACTCCCACAGGGACACTCCTGTGACCACGTACAGCTCTGCTCCAGGAACGATGTTGGTATGGAGAGCTAACGTTTACCGAACACCAGCTCAGCCTCAGGCGCTACTCTAAGCACATGACATGTACTTTTAATCCAACTCTAAGCACCCTGCTCTGGGGCATCCTTGCGGATGCTCAAGAGGTAGGTGTATTTTGTACGTACAGCCTTGCCTTCTTGAAAAAGATAAGAGAATGAATCGTACTGTCCAGAAAAAAAAAAACCAAATAAAATCTCTTTAGAGGCCACAATATTCTTCTCTATTCCTGAATGTTGACGGGTTTGGCAAAGAGAACCCTCTAATACAAAAACAGCTTTTATCTCAAAATAAACATGATCTTAGTGTACCGGTAAGATCAGCAAAATGTGAATTGTTCAGATGCAATGTACAAACAATTGATATCTCTGAAGATAACCCCTCTGAAATTTATTTCTAATAATCATTTTGCAAACGAGAGATGGCTTATATTGCATGGTCTGTTAGTGCTTGCCTGGATGTCTGAGACCCAAGAGGTGGAGGGCAAGGAGTAAGGCTCAGTAGATGATGAGAAAGATTCCTTGTCCTCCTTAAAATAGCTAACTTCTGCTTCACCCCAACAAGTTGGTATACAAGTCCAACAGGGAGTAAATATGAGAGCAATTAAAATTAGTGTGGTTTGATTTGTGTAAACAACTTCTGTTTACACAAATGGTGTAATGCTGTGGTTCAGGTAATGTTCATGTCTATGAAACCCAAGTAACCTAAACATAACTTGATACGTATAGAACATTCCTGGCCATGTTCTTCTGCTCTAAACTATCTCAGTAAACATTAAGTCAATCGCTGGAATCAGGCATGGGCTTACCCAGTGAAGGTCATAATCAGACGGCCGCGCTCTTCCTTCGTCGTCCTCATACAAAGCAAAACCTTCCCTCCGAGCCTGATAGTACTCCTTCCGCAGCTTCTGGATGCGGTCAGCGCTTCCACTTGCAGGACGGCCACTAGGGGACATAATCAAACCCAGTCACACAATGTACAGCATCCTGGAAACTCGCTTTTGATCTTCTGATTCAAGGAGCTGACCTCCAAATTTGGAAGATCCAATAACGTCAGTCAAAGATGCTAGGAAAATTGTGAAATCGGTAATAAAAATGAACAAAAAACGGTCCTTATGTGCATACCTTTAGCTCCAAGGGTCAAGACATCTGACTTGGGGTTAATAAATGCCAGTTGAGTGAGAAGGTAAGATAAGGTCCCTACCTCTTACAGCAATTAAAGGAGCCACCACTTTTCTAAAATAATCACATCCATAGAGTTTGGTTAAATTTTAACATGAGTAGCTCATTTTCTCAAGTAAGTATTGCCTATTTGAGACCAGTTGTTCAACCTGAAGATTGGATTTGACACAGAATTGGCATGACCCAGTGTTCACTTCAGTGACATTTATGAATTTTTTGAGTGGGGGGTGGGGTACAGGTCAATATATGGGCACAGCCAGGGCGTAGGAAAAGAGAAGAAGGTGGAAGCCATGCCAAGAATTAAAAAGAGAAATAAAAAGCTGGTGGTAGTCGAATGTGGCATCTTGGTTACTTGTCCAAGGTTCTCCTCTCTACTTCAGCCACTTCTTCCTCTCAGGAATCACCGCTTCTCCAGAGACTCACCCACCCAGCCCCAAACTGGTCAGCTAGTGGCTCCCTTTAGCTTGTCCAGCCATGTGCTGCATAATGACGTTTTGGTCAATGATGGACCGCATATACGATGGTGATCCCATAAGATTAGCACGACATAGCCTAGGTGTGTAGTAGGCTGTACCATCTAGGGTTGTGTAAGCGCACTCAATGATGTTTGCACAACGACCACATCGCCTAACGATGCATTTCTCAGAACGTGTCCCCACCATTATGATCATTTCAACAGAGCCAATACCATGTGAGACAACTCAGGGCCAGGGCCAGGAAACAAGGGGAGAATGACAGGCAGATCTTGACAGCTGTTCACCTTCTTTGGCTCGTCTGAGGCATAACTGAGTGTCCCATTGTGCCAGACCTTCAGGTAAGACCTGGGAAGGTAAAAATGACCCATTCACAGTCCTTGTCTGCAAAAAGCACACGGTCTGGGAACTAGGGGCCTGGAAGAGATACAGAAGACTCCAATCCGCTGTGACAGGTGTGACAACAGAGGTCTGCACAGAGGTTGTGGAACGCAGACAGCACAAACTCTGACAGGGTGAAAGCAGGCCACGGAAGATCACGGAAGTCTCCCTAGTGGAGGTGACACTTTAGCTGAGTCATGAAGGACGCACAGGTGTTCAACAGCCAGACAAGTGAGCTGAGGAAATCCCAAGGAGAGGGAAGGGAACTGCAAAGGACAGAAACGAGAAAGCATCTTGCTCTGGGGGAACGCAGGTCAGTCAGCGGGGGCAAGCCGTGGTCCTCAGCACCTTTGGTCCTGCCTCACACACAACTCACGCGACATATGCTCTCTCCCGTCCCTCATTTAAGAAGCAAATTAGAATAAAAGTGAGTGCTGGTGACTTGAGGGATGTCTGGAATTTACTCTAATAAATGACAAAAGTACATCACTTGCAGATGTTGGTACTTTAACTCAATTCGTGACACCTTATTAACCGTAGGGACACTCGCGTCTCAAGGGCACGTGAGAGTCACTGCTCCGGTACAGGGTACGTGGGAGGGAGCAGGGAAGAGACAGGGAGAAACACAGGTAGGGGCCCCGCTGTGGAGAGCTGTACATGCCAAGAAGGTTCCCAACCATCACAGCTGAGTTTCAAGTTTAATTGGAGCATCTGATGAAAGGCGACATCTGAGGGCAATAGAAAGAGGTCTACTGCTATTTTGTTCAAACATTTAAAAATTATACTTGTAAACTATAAAAACAACATGGGGAGGAAACATCTTTTGGAGGAAAAGCATTCTTCTCAAACTAGACTGTAGCTAACTGAAGCAGGACCACGTGTGGGTGTCTCAGACCTTGCTGCAGAGTTAGCGCAGGGCCCTGGGCCTCCTACACACCCTCGCCCTCGACGACAAGCAGCCAATGCCTTTGATTAAGAAAAGACAAACCTGTATGGATCACATATCTTTATTTTTCTTCATACGTATTTAAAAACTCTCAAAACAGTTCTAACTCTGTTTCTTTACTATGATTTTTTTAAAATAAAAGTTTACCTCCAGCACTTGGAAACGATAATAATAATAAAAAAAACAAGGCCTGATACGCTTTTCTGAACAACGGGAAGTGGGGAAACAGCACAGCTTGGTTCTGAACAGCTTCCTTGCTCCTGAGTACTCTGAGCTGACCGTGGTTCTTGTATCCGACGGGCAGGCTTCTGCCGACTCCGTGAACGTGTGAGCCGCTCAAACTCACAGATGAGTTCAATCAACACGATGCAAACATCGCATACATAATCTATTAGTTTACCCAAAGAAACTGCAGCACTGAATTCAAGCAGAATGAAATCATCGTAATAAAGAAAAAAAGAAAACCGATAAGGCACTGTTTTAAAAACCCCCACAATTTTGCTACATTTGTGGTGGGAAAAAAAATCATACTCAGACTGTAAACTATTCTTCCATATGCCTATAAAAACATAAATTCAAAAATATGGGTTTGATCAGATTTCAGTTCTCAAGTAGAGGGAACGGGGCAAGAATACAAAATTAGCTGTTTAGGATTCAGAAAATCCCTTATGGCTGACAGGAACATGACTATTTACCTGGAAAAGAAATCTGGCCTCAGAGAAAAAAACAGGAAAAAAGTCTAGAAAGTCATGGACCATCTAAGTGCAAAACATGCTGCATGTTCTCCCTTGTGTGAGTATTTTAAAGACATGGGACACCGTGCAAACCTCTCATGATAACGCAGACTACATCTCAGCTTTGACTCTTCTTTTTTTCTCTCCAACCCTCATTCTACTTTTAGTACCTGTTTCAGATTTTTCCCAAGTAGGTGTTTTATATAATAAAATTAGGAATAGCAAATTCTAATTTCACTTTTCAGCTCTTCTTTGCAGAGAATATGTACAAGGTTACCACCAAATCAATAAAAATGATATACACAGCTATTGTAAACAAAGCAGTTAATTGATTCCATTTTGTGTTGAAGATGTAGAAACTTGGCAAAGAACATAAAAATACCTTTGTCATAATAGCAGCAATAGTCACAATAGTTATAATTTATAGAATACTTACATAGCAAGTATATCAATACAGACTTCTACTTACTCCACTTTCTGCCCAGAGCAGACATCACTAATCAATTACAGCATTCTTTCCCAATGATCCTAGACATGGCCTTAGAATCCTTCTCAATGGAGAACCTCCGAAAGCCACTACTAATCCATAGGAGCTGGCGCATAAGTTTATTTTTAATTCCTGTGTAACAGATGCTATAAATATCTCAAAATATCAAGTGAATATTGAGACAGGTTTATTGTTCTGCTCCATTGAGATGAGGAATCTAGGGTTCACAGCTAGGAGGTGATGAGCAAGGTCTGTCTGACTGCAGAGACTCCTCTCTCCAGCATTGCATACTACCCCCCAACCTGCGTCCCCTCCTTCATCTTATTTATCTCTTAGAGACTGTGTCCTCTAGCAACATATTGGGCCAGAATGAAAGTCAAGGCTAGCCTTGAGCCTGAGGACTACTGTTTCGTTTCCCAGTTTACATTATCTGTCCTACTTTCCTTGCTTTACAGAACTTAGCAGAAGAGATTCTAAGGGATCTTTTGCCTGATAGCTTCAGAAGTGACATCAGATTATGAGGTAACTCAAATACTCTTGCAACCACATAAAATCAGGCAAAGTGTCAACAGCCCCATCTCTAAGTTGCTAGCTAGAAAATTAGGCTTTCTGTATTATTCATTCACTGGATAAAGTAAAGGTTAGCCACTCTTTAAAAAGTTCCTATTACATACAGCTGTATCCATATGTAAGTGATTAATGCCACTCCTACACTTTGAATGTGCTGAAATTTTTTGTTAAATTAATTCAAGCAGTATAACACAACAGAGTTATATTGTAGTGATTTCTTGTAAATTATACTGCCTGTGCCTTCAAAGGCAGATGCACAGTTGAACAGGCTCTTCGTATACCACTTCACAGCTGGACAGAGTTTGAAGTTGTAATAGGGTTCAGAAACCCTCGTCACCTTCTTCAGGGCCACCTGTAGTAATATCTTCCCAGATGCAATAAACATCACAGGAAGGCATTATCTGCTCCTCTGGAATCGAACCTTATCCTTCCCAGTTCATAATTACCTCACCTGAAGTACATCTTAGAATGAGTGTTCATTTGCGCTGCCATCGTCTCCTCCCACGACGGCGGCAGGCTGGAGAAAGGAAACTCACGTGGGTTCAGCTTCTCTGGTGCCCTAAGCATAATACTGATGCTCTGCTTTCTTCATCTCATTTAATCCTCAGTCAAATTGGTGAGGATGACATCGTTATTGACATTTCACAGATGAGTCTACTGAGGCTCAGAGAAGTAGCACAATCAGTGAATGTGGACCAGGAGGTGTGTGACTCCAAAACCAGTGTTATTTCTACCACATCACGTTGCCCTGAGAAAGGCATTAAAACACAGCAGGCACTTTGGAGCAGCAGCACGGGCCTCTCCAGGGAGACGGAATCTAGCAGAGCACGTTTACAGCCTACCTTTTGATATTCTTTTATTTGCACAGATCTTTGCAATAAAAATAGAAGTAGCCAAAGTAATATAAATACATGCAATGAAGTCTGTATCCATTAAAGAATGATGTTGGAGCAATTGCAGACTGAGATTTCTGGGTAATTAATATTACATCTCCAACAGGCTTATGTGGGAAACCGAATGGAGTGCAAAAGAGAATCAACATATGACAGAGATCCCATATGAAAGAGAAAGAAACTCTGGATCAGGAGCAGACTGAGAGGCAGCCAGGGCTGCTCCTGGTCAAGTTCCTCACTGACTGCATGAGAGGGAGCTGGTCACTGCCAACGAACTGT